GGCATTCTGCTGGCTACTCAGCTTTCAGGGTCTGCAAGAGATAGGAAAGGCAGGAAGTGGGGAGAGGTGTCCCCCACCCAGCACCCCTACAACCCATGGACCTCCCAGTTAGTGACCCACGGTAACTACCAATTTTTGCTGACAAGAGAAGAAGTCATTCTGTTTCTTTCCATTTCCCAGGTAGGGAAACCGAGGCCTAGAGATTTGTGACTCAGCAGTTAGAGCAGTCTGGATTAGTGCTAAGGAGCCTCAAGTCTTCCCTGGAATCTCCCCAGCAGACCATGTGGGGCGGGGAGTCAAGGCCTCCAGTTCCAACTCCTCTCATGGGGCCCATCGCCCTGAGCCGAGGCGCTTCCTCTACAAAACGAGGCTGAGTTCCTCCTCTCTGACTTCAGATAGTTGGTATACCCTCTACTGCAGACATGTGAGGACAGCGAGGGGCACCCCAAGGACCCCAAAGTGAGGGGACATTATCCTTCCAAGTGCACAGGCTCAAGCCTGGGAGTCACTCCTGACACATCTCACTCTCCCAACCTATCACCAAGGCTTGTGGTTTCTCTCTGGAAAAGCCCTTGTCTCCACTCATATTTTCCTTCTCTGCTACCAGCACCCTGTTACAAGCCACCACCATTTCTCCTAATCAGCCCCCTTTTTTTTTTTTAATGTTTTTATTTTAATTGCCATAGAGGGTGTGTTTATGTTATAATCTTTTCCCCTTCCATTTTTCCATCCTGTCAGAATTTGGAAGAATGTATGCACATACACCCAGCATGTGCTTTAAGCCACTGGGCCCAGGATTTCAACCACGGTCAGCCATGTGGAATCCAGCTCCCTTAACCACTTGGCTACAGGCCCTGCCCATTGACCTTTTGAGTCTACTCTTCCCCACTGGAATCCACACTCCATCCAGGGGCCAGAAGAAATGGACACACAAATTGGAAAGGCCTCACCTCCCCACCCCTGCTGCCTTCTCACCCACCCATAGCTTCTCGTAGCTCCTTGGATAGACACCAAAACCCTTAAGGTGGCCTATGGCCTCATGTGCTCTGGCCCCTGCTGGCTGCCCCAGCCCATCAACACCATAGTCTCTGCAGCTTCCACTCCTCAAATGTGTCCTGCTTTCTTCACGTCTGCACTTGCTGCCCTACCTAGAAGACTCAACAGAGACAAAGAGATGGAGACAAAGCATCCTCAGTGGGGCATGGTCATGTGCAATCCCTTCTGCTCCATTTCTTCATCCTGTTGGGATCTGGGGCACTCATCCACACATGTCCAAGTGTTCTTCAACTTGCCAGGGCTGGGATTTGAACTGTATGATTGGCCATGTGGGAGCCAGCTCTCTTAACCACTAGGTCATGGGGCTGGCCCCTACCACCCATTTTTTGACTATTAACTTCCTACTCATTCTTCACTGTCAACAAGGGCCCTCTTTGCAAGGAGGCCAGGCCACCCAGCATCCCTGCCACCCTTCTCACAGAGCCAGGTCTCGCTCTCACAGAGTACTTCTATCTGTCATGCTGTGCTGTTTCTGTGAGATTCCGTAGGTATGTGGCTATGGACCTCATCTGCTTTTGTTTCCCACCGTATCCTCAGTGCTGATTGAATGAATGTAAGAATGACTGTTGGGGCCAGCAGGTGGCTAAGGTCTGGACTCCCCACATGGCCAACCACGGTTCAATCCTGGACCTGGTGGTTTGTTTTCTCTCTCTTTCTCTCCTTTCTCTGTTGAGAGCATGTGCCCTATAGCAAATTATATATAATAATAATAATAATAATGAATATAATTAAATAAAAAATAATTAGAAAAAGAGAATGAGTGGCTTTCATTGTCCTAACATGAGGATAGGCCCTTCATAGCACTTCTCAGGCTACTGAGACCCTCCCAAATAATCACGGGCTTTGGGAGGTGGGGCAGGAGTGGGAAGCAAAACCAGACAACGGGCGAGGAATACCATGTTGAGATCAGATTCCCTCTGGGGTTTCCTGTCTCATCTGTGAGCAGGCAAAGCTTCCATGGGCCAGTAGCCTGGTGCCATTCATTTGCAAGGCTATTCAATGAGTACTGATCACTCCACCCTTTCTCAAATAAGGGGACTCTTCCCTGTCCCAGCTAAGATCCTTAGGCACTCCCGCATCCTGCCAGGCCAGTGGTGTCTTTTTAATTATGTTCTGTATCTGGCTCAGGCCCAGCTCTCAGCCCTGGCTTATCTCCAGTGGGGCTGACAGACAGCAGCGGGCAAATAAGGAGCCATCAGCTGCCTTCTCTCAGATGTTTTCTGTCCTGGTGGCCAGAGAGAGCCTGGCTGTTCCCAGCAGCAGACCAAGATGGCAGAGTTCATTCCTTGCTGGAGCCATATTTCCTATTCCCCACCCTTCCTCCTCCTCCTCCTCGCCCCGGTTCACTCCTGTCCTGAACGCCCATGGGAGAATGCAGCTTTAGCTTTAGCACCCAGATGGGCAGCGAACTTGGACTGCAGCTTCAGTCCACCGTGGGTGTTCTGCCAAGGACGTCTATCCAACCCAGTCTCCGCACTGTGCCCCTCGCCCAGGGAGTTGGGCTTGACTGGGAGATGTCTGAGAACTAAGGGAAGATTCACTCAGAATGGGCCCTGTCAGAACCATGTCAGAACCTCTTGGGAAGAGTACATTTTCAGTCTCATGGGGCCTGCTTCGTGCGTCATTTTTACCAGTTCGTTCAGCCTTGATAAGGCTACTGTATTAATTAATACCTACTGTATTCCAGGCCCCGAATTGGCTGCCAGGGATGGAAAAAGAAGATGTGGCCCCATCCTGAAGGAGCAGCAGAGGACAGTCGGGAGTTGGGGAGGACAGTCAGGGCAGCTACTTTGGTGCAGGCACATCCTTCATCGCATGTAATCTTCACAAAACCATAGAAGGTAAGAATTATCCTTCTGCAGGTGAGGACCGTGAGGCCCTCCAGAGACGTGTGTTTGGTCATAGGTGTGAGCTGGGAGTGTCCGAAGGAGAGGGTACCTCTAGGACTCTCTCCTGGGAGGACCCTGGGCCATCCCTGTGAGATGGGGACCGGAGTAAATTGTGCTGAATGTCCTCCCTTTTGACTCTAATCCAACCTGGGCCTCAAGTGGGCCCCAGGGCCCAGGAAGCACCCGGGGAAGGAACAGCATCTCCAGGTCAGGAACCAGGGCTGGGAACCAGGAAAGGTGTCGGGTGTGAGTGGAGCTGATCTGCCGCATCTATGTCAACTTTTGCCACGTGTGTACCTCCCAGTGCATTCCTCATGCAGCTGCATAACTGTTCTTACCCGGTTCCTAGACTCTTGGGATGCTGAGTCTGGGAAGTGGCTGGATGGGAGGAAACAAAGGCGATCGAGTGGGACGGGGCTCAGAGAAGGAGGGAGGGATGTGCTGAAAGGTCGTGGGTCTCAGAACCACCTTGGGGAGGAGTGCTGGGGAGGATGGAAAAGAGGATTTTAAAGAAGGGGTGCCCTGAGTGACAAATTGGGTCCATTTCTTACTCTCTAAGATATACATGGAACGATTGCAATGACCTGGGGTACTGGACTGTTCTTTGATGAAAAGTTGGGCCAAACGCAGACACTAAGGGTCCTCTCTGGGTTATAGGAGGTTCCTGGTGTGCTTGCTAAATACAGAGACTATTTCTAGATGGCCTAGAGACTATAAATTCCAAATGACTGCAGCCCTTCTGGGCAGAACCTTCTACTTGGCCTGGCAATTATAAGTACTCAATAAATATTTACAAAGTGAAGTGAACGAATGCATGAGTGTCAGCAGCCTCTGAGAGAGAGCCACCAGGAGCTGGAGGTACTGGAGGGGACACGCAGGTGTGAAGATAAAAATGAATGGAAGTGATGGGTATTAAACAAGGCTGCCCAACTTAAACGTCAGGACAGGTCTGTTAACATTGATAATAACATTGAATGTTAATGGATTAAATTCTCCAATCAAGAGACACAGACTGGCTGAATGGATTAAAAAACAAAAACCCTCTATCGGTTGCCTACAGGAAACCCACTTCATGGGTAAAGATGTACATAGACTGAAAGTGAAGGGTTGGAAAAAGATTTTCCATGCAAATGGGAACCAAAAAAGAGCTGGAGTCGCAATACTAATCTCTGACAAAATAGGCTTTAAAACAAAAACTGTTCAAAGAGACAAAGAAGGGCACTATATTGTAGTAAAAGGATCAATCGATCAAGAAGATATAATGCTTATTAATATCTATGCGCCTAACACAGGAGCACCCAAATATGTGAAGGAAAGACTGCTAGATCTAAAAAGGGAGAGAGACTGCAACACACTAATTGTTGGAGACCTCAACACTGCACTATCCCCTCCTGGATAGATCATCTAGACAAAAAATAGGTAAAGAGATAAAAGATCTAAACGATATCATAAATCAAATGGACTTAACAGACATCTATAGAACTTTCCATCCCAAAACCTCAAGATACACTTTTTTCTCGCCACCACATGGAACATTCT